GTGTAGTTTGGGCAGCGATAAATGGCAGCTATCGCTGATGAGAGTATGTGTCAAGATTGAAAAATTAGCCCATACCAAAGAAGTTAAAAAGTTAACTAGTTCGAGAAAGTCTATGCCATTCTGTAGCACCACTAGTTTGTTTTATAATGACTTGCACTCCGTGTTTTGAGACAGACAAGACAGAAGCGCTGTTGTAAGTTTGCGCTAGTTTATTTTTGCATCCCTCAAAGTGATGTTGCAGCTCAGATAATATGCGTGCAGATAATAAGTCAGCAGAATGTCTTTCAGGAATGACAAGGTCTCAGAATCTTTCAACAGGTTTGAAATTGTATTAACGTGAATTCTCGGGCGCGGCGTTATTGTATAGCTGTAATCACTGCCAGCAAGTTACGGTACGTTTCAAATACGGTTTCTCTGGTGGCACTCATGTGGTTATCATTTAATATTTCGCGCGCATCCTCGGGACACGGTCGCCTTATTTAGTTTCCACCATGAAATCTGTGGCTTTTCTAAACAACATTGCCACCACCAGAGAAGAAAACAAAGTGAGGGGAGATATATTAGACACGAACACTGGCGCTTTATATACTATGGCCAATTTCTGGCAGACTTAAAGACACTACAGTGACATATTAACGCGAATATTCGGATGCCGCGTTATTGTATAGCTGTGATTTGACACTGCGTGACGTCAAGTTGGGGACTACCATTGAAACATTTCGCGCCGATCCTACGGACTCGGACACCACATCCTACGAGACGTTATGGAGTTAGCACTATGGAAGATGTAGCATAGCCACCGTCACAGAAGAAAACTAAGTGAGGGAGAACATACTAGGCACGGGCAGTGGCGCAATGGACAATTTCTGGTAGGCCTGCAGACCCTTCAGTGTGTGCAAATAACATAAATTCTCGAACGCAGCGTTATTGTATAGCTGTAGCTTGACACTGAGCGATGTCACCTCGCGGGCTACATCCTTTTATTGCAAGACAGCACTTATTCTCATACCGCGGCCCAAAATCTGCATTTCGAGTTTCGATCTTGTCACATCTAATTACCATCAGTTTGGTCCACTTAAAGATGCTTTAAGATACTGTAGATTTCTCTCCAACCTGCAGGTGAGGAAGCAGAACATACATGGCTTGCTGCTCATTGACAATCCTTCTTTCTTATGTTTCGGAAAGCTGGTGCTATGATGGCCAAAGTACATTGAATAGTATGTCAAAATATATTCTCATTGTAAATTTTATACTGGTGTAATCAATCCTAAGCATTGTGTGCAGTTTCTTATTGACCCTTATATGCAATCTAGTTTATGAGGGGGCGGGGGTGCCTGAGGAAGGGGTCGGCGGGTGAGCTGCATCCCTTCTGTGTATAGTTATTTGAGGCGCGCGAGAGTTCAAAGTGGTTAATATTAAATTTAATATTTTGCCACTAGGATAGACCCTTCTTTGTTGAGCTTATTTAATGTAAGCTTGTATTACTATTATTGTTTACTCATATATATATATTATATATATATAACCTAGTATATTAATTATATATATTTATATACTATATATATAAAGATATATATAATAATATATAGTAATATATAATATATTAATTATTATATAATATTATATCTATATATATATATATATTAATACTATTATATAAGAACAGCCATTCAAAACTCTGCGGTGGTCAGATATGTTCAGTGCTTGCATAACGTAGGAGCGAATTCTAGCTCGCTTAAGTCCAGAAGGAGAAGAAAGTTCTAGTGGCCAGTTGTCTCTACTGCATTGCTTATGACAACTTCACCCATCAGACTACTGCTTCCTAGATATGACCAACTATTGTATGCTAATTTTCTCGACGTGATCTCTAACCGAACATACCATCGAACAGTGCCCTAACAAACAGGACATGGACCGCGCGCGATCTTTCCTTCCTGTTTACTCTCCCTTATACACGCTTATTTTTACATGCCCTACACTACCACACATGTCGGGAAACAAACCGGGAACTTATAGCCCAGTCAAATTGGACAAATCGGATGAAAGAGTTTTGAAATGTGGCATGATTTTTTGTTGGTACCTACCGCTCATTAAACTAAAAATTTTGAACTATTAGGATCAAGCTTACAAGGGTGGAACCTTCCAGTGCGAAGTAGAAATTTCACGAACAGAAACCGTCAAATTACATTTTCTTTCTTCTTTTTTGTGCTTGGTAAACCACACATATTTTACTGCAACAATATCAAAAACCTCATGAATACATTGTGATAAAATATGTTTAGCGGCTGTGATTAGAGGCTGTTCATAAACGCTTCAAAAGCAATCTTGAAGGCAGTGCTATTACATAATGGAAATGTAAAACCTTCTGTACTAATTGCCCATGCAACAGAAATGAAGGATGCTAATGAAAATATTGGTTTGAGTCTTACCAGTATTCGTTACAAAGAACACAAATGAAAAACTTGTGCTGATCTCAAGGAATTGGTCATCCCGTTAGGATTGCAGGCAGGTTGTACAAAAGTCTGTTGTCACTTGCGACTGTAGGGCAAGGAAAAAGCATTACAAAACCAAAAACTGGATCCAGCGAGAATGTTCCGTATGTGGCCGGAATAAAAGTGACTCTCACAAACGCTAGGTTGACAGTAATAGCTAGGACCTGGATAATTATGTAATAACATTTTTTCCTAATGAAACTCTGTCAAATGGAATCAACGATTTCTTCACATTTCATATCGATTGCCAAAAAACGTTGACTTTTTAGAACATATTTTTACATATTTTACCCCAATATATTTACATATTTTACCCAAAAGAACATTTTTTTACATATAACTGAATTTTTCCACTTTTTCTGCAATTTTTTAGTTAATTTTTTATTTTCCTGTTTGATAAGGAATATCCCAGACAAACAATTCAGTTTTATCAAAAATTATTTTGATAAAAACTTGCAACTTTCAGCGGTCTTCCCTTGACCTTGCTACCCTTCACCAGAAACTATTCGTCCAGCTCAGGAAGCGCGTTGACATTTTTCTTTCCCCGATTGTCACACGCGAAACTCCGCCGTTGTTTATAAATTATCTCTTTGTGCAGAAAATTTGAATAAAATCGCGATACGGCCCTAAAGCATTTGGGACAGTAGCTCGCGGTTTACAGTGTCAAAAGCTTTAGCAAAATCCATATATTGGAGTCAAATATCTTTTTTTCCAAATTGGAGGAAGGGTATCTTCGTTCAGAGATTTTACAAAACGTACATGAAGAATTAGTGTTAAGTTGGCATTATAAGATTTTAATAATGGTATTGATTCTGGCCCAACACCTTTGTTAACGTCCAATTTATTTATCAATTCGAATACATCTTTTTGGATTATCTCAATGTTACCAATATTGAAGGCAGAAGCATGATCAAGCAAGCGCTTAATTGACATTAGTAGATTGGTTATCATCATTATAATTACTATATATGGATTCAAAGTAATCAGCAAAAATATCTACTATTTTTTTAGGGATGACAGCTGTTTCATTGTTGTCAAAAATATAATTTGGAATACCATTTGTTCCCCTTTTTTTGTTAGTAAATTTCAAGAATGACATTATATTAGGTGGAATAGAATTTTCAGTATTTATCACATAATTATCATAATCAAGATGAGATTTTGATTTACATTTTTTTGCGTAATTCTGAAAAGTTTCTATAATCTAAAGGATCATTTGTAAATTGGTATTTGGAGTGAACTTTAGACTTATTATTTAACATTAATTTTAATTCTATAGAGTATGAGGAGACACATTCAGTTTGAGTACGTGTTTTTTGAACAGTTCATTAATAAAGTTATAAAAATAATCAACACATGATTGAATAGAATTAATTTCAAAATAGCTACTTCATTCAAATGAGCATAAGTCTTCACTAATTGACATAAAGTCTCCAAGGTTACAATTGTATTTTGTGAAATAATTAAAGATGTTGTCATTGCCAACAATATTTTTTAATCGAAAGCTGCTATTGCATTAAAAAATATTGTTGGCAATGACAACATCTTTAATTATTTTAAAAATGCCAAAGATATCACACCACAACACCTATATTGTATTTTGTGACTAACGTATTGAGTGTCATGTAGCTTTCTTTAATATTTATCATAAGTTCCAATGCCGGGTGATACTAATCACTAGGTCAGATTTAATTACATTTGAATAATTAGAAGCAAATATTAGGTTGAGAATTTTAGAATTATCATTTAATATTTTGTTTAACTGTAATAAATTGATATAATGATTTGTATGTTGAATTTGTATGCCAATATCGATTTCGATACTGGAGGCATTTAAAAATTCTGAATGAAGAATATCATCAAAGTTTGACTATAATGTATTTGGTTAATTAAAATTACCCATTATTAAGAATTTCGATGTTGGGTTGCTTTCAGAAACTCGTTTTAGGTTTGTAATAAATTCTAAGTAGGCACCAAGAATTGACTTGGGTGGAAAGTACGTTCCTACAACTATCATATCAAAATGAATATATTTAAGATGAACGAAGATGTGTTCAGAATGATGACAAGATAATCTAAAGATTTCAAAAACAAAGACCAAAACAATAGCATTTGTGAGAAAGCATCCTTTATGCACCAAAATAATTTTGGAAAATATGATGCTGGAACAAATAAGCCATTTTAAATATTTGGGCTGCAACATAACGTTCCACACAGAAATGGATATAGAAAAAAAAATTCATAAATACCAGAATAGTATATGCGGAAATATTCGTCGAACTCTTAATGCTGAAACACGCAGAGATACTCTAATGAGGATATATAAAGTAATGGCTGTCCCGTCTCTGTTTTCGGAAGTGAATGCTGGACTGTGAGGGAGAAAGATAAACAGACGTTACAGTCTGCTGAAATGAAATTCTTGAGATCTGTTAAAAAAATGTACCAGACTAGATAAACTCAGAAATGAGGAAATTCGAAAAGAACTAAACGTCCAAGCAATCAATAACAAGGTACAATGTTACAGGCAGGAATGGTTACATCATGTGGAAAGAATGGAAGAGACTCACATTCCAAAGCAGGTGTTTAAGTATAAGCCTCAAGGCAGAAGAGATCCAGGAAGACCCCTAAAAAGATAGAAATCTTAGGAGACGGAACAGGTCATAGACCTATGCTTGAAGTGAAGAAGAACTGCTCCAAAGATTTGTCTCCATCGTTATTTTTAATACTAATTGTGAGAGGAGAGAGAAAGGACATTGCCAAAATAATGGCCACCAATGTAATTAAGGATAATTCAGGAGTAGGATTCATGTAAATAAAAACCTACAGCAAATTTAAATGTATCAAAATTTATATTCTTTGTATGAAAATGTGATAATGAAATAAGTACATTTAAAAGAAAATGTTGAAATATGATTAATGAATTATGACAATATAAATATTTTGTGATTTTTAAGATCATTTTGTAGAAAAAAGTGCATTTAACATTACATTCTGTTGCATCACATATCTTACAAATCTTTCATTCTTTCTCAATATTTGGCTTAGGGTTTTTATACATAATTAATTTCCATTCATTCTAATATCTTCTTCACACTCATATTTGCATACATTAACAAGTGATTCAAGACTAGTTTGTAATGAGTTCTTAGAGAGAGCAACTCTTCTTTTACAAAAATTTGATAATCCTAATAGTTATTGCACGCTTATAAAACATGCATTTTCATACTATCAGACACAAACAATTTTGGGTCAAATAATCTGAAAAGAAATTCATTCAGAGCGGAGAGAAATATAATTCACTCATAAATATGCAGTCAAGGAGTTGTTAAAATTTCAGAAAATACTGAACCAACTTTTTTATTTAACAAGGAAGTTTTCCTATCCTAATCTCAACCAAATTTCACACTCTTTGCTCTGAAGAATAAATAAACATGAAACCACAAAGTCATTACTTGACTCTTCTCCACAAATAGTATCTTTCAATAAATACTTTGAGTTTTCATGCACTGTGAAAAACTAACAATATTTGTTGTAATTCAACCATCATTATTTACAATAAATAATGCTTTTCATTTGCATTGAATTAATCCTATTTTTGTTCTTATATACTAAATAGAGATATGCCCTTGAGTATATACTGATAGCAGCATTCAGAATGCCTAACATTGCTAACTCAGTCATGCATTACATTCTCTCAGTCTTAAAGATTTGTGCATCAATCATTTACACAAATGCAGTATATTAACTGCAAAACCCTGATACAGGTAAATATTATTACTGAAAAGTGTTGAGTTAGATTTTTCAGTGACTTTCAATCCATGCAGTCAGATCTGCTTTGGGAATGCTTGTTGCATCTCGGCAAGACACCAGTGAATTGCTGAAAGAGAACATAAAAAATTAATTTTTCTATCCTGAATAATATTTTACAGGTGTCACACTACTTTGACATTTTAAATCTAATATTTAATATTTTTTATTGATCATCCAATTATTTTTTTATTTTAAATAATTACCTGGAAGAAGGCTTGTGGAACACTTGTGGCTGCATACTGCTTACATCATCACTATTATCACAAAAGACTCGGGACAATGAAACCTTTCTGATTTCTTGTAGTTGTTCTGAAAGCAAAAACCAAGGTAATTTTATTAATTTTTAATTTGTTTACGCTATAAATTTATACTGATGAAATGTTATCAAATTAGTTATTAAAAAATTCATGAAATATTTACCTGCAGTAAAAGATGATGGCTGATTTTTAAGATCATAGAAATATCTATCTCCTTTGCGGGTACGAGCAAACTGCTCTCCAATAATACAACGGAAGGTAGGCCCAAGAAGTCCATCATCTTTGGGATGTTCAGCCATACCGCCAATCAATAAATCAACATCATCTACACTGCGGTACATTTCTCTTAACTTTCTGATCATCTGCAAACATAAAACATTCAATCAATACAAGCTCATCAACGAACACTGTACAATTTCCACTAGTTCTTCATTTTAACACTCTTCAATGAACACTTAACAGTACTTACATTCTGGGAGATTTCTGTGCTGAAATCATCAAAGTTTTCAGCCTGTTGCAATCCACACATTCTTCTGAATTGGTTATAACCAGGAAGCCCATGATCTCTGCCTCGCTGAATATCCAAACTAATGATATCAAGGCCATAGTTATCAGAGTCCTGGTACAATAAGCTGGTGATCTGAAACAAAAAATCAAAAGCAATGTTAATTCAGTTTTCAAAGGGCCTTATCCCCTTTTGAATCTACAGGAATAAACTTGAATTAATGGAAATGTTTGCAAGACTTCTACTCACATCTTCAGTAAATGTCATATCACTCTTCTGACTATTTTGTGTGGCCAGTCCTCGAACAAGACCATCAAAATGACCTGGTTCTTCCAAGACTCGTGGACGATTGAAATGCTGATTCAGTCGAAGAGTGTGATTTACTTCCCGATCTTCGTTGACTAATCTCAAATTTCCCTCCATAAGGGAATGAACAAATCGCAGAGCTGCAGTAGCAAAGCTATTCGTCACTGATGGGTCCACATTTTCACTGAATTCAGTACTGAATCCAGATTGTTTTACTTCAAGGCCAGACTTCTTGGTATATCTCTGACCTTAAAAAAAAAAAAAGTTTATTATATATTTGATCATTCTTCATAAAGAGTTCATACAGATAATAAAAATATGCATTGAAAATTTTTTTAGAAAAGCATTAGGCTATTGAAGTACTGAAAACTCACCAAGAACAAGAGGCAACCATTCACTGAAGGTAATATGTTGAATTTCTGCAATAACAATTCTTCTGGCTTCTTGATACAATTTTTCATCTCCCCAATGAGGATTCAATGTTTGTAATTTATCAGCAATTCTGTTGTGTTCTCTTAGCCAAAGGGTGTGCATTACAGTGAGGTGAGGATGACCATTAACTCGCAGATCACCTGCAAAAAATATATTTTTGAATTATTCACTTTGTTGACTTGAAAATTGAATTTTTTAATAGTTTTCAAAAGGGTAAAAAATAATACAAACCTGATTCATAGCAAGCTTGAGATTCAGGAGACAGTTGACAGTGCTTGGAAGGTTGAGAAGAAGCTGGCAAGAACATCTGACCATTCTTGCGATCATGTTTCAAATGACCATGAGAAAAGGTCCTCAAGCTGCGTGATTTCTCTTCTGTGGATCCATAGATCATGGATCCATCAAGATAATGACTGACTTGATTCATTTGTTCTGCAGGTCCAAAACTGCAATCTGGTCTCATAGCTGTTACGGAGCGAACATAGTTCATGCAGGTCATATGTCTCCTTGAGTAGAATGGGTCATTTTGTGGAACCTCAATGGGCATACAAGCAGGATGTGTATGACGAGGCATAAGGTCCTGGCCCTCATGATCACAGCACATGATGGAACTGTCAAAGTTGTTGACTGGAAAATGAATACCAAAGAGAATATAAGAAATGCAATTTCTCATATGATATTTCAATTTCTCAGTATTCATTAGTAAAGAAGTGAAAAAATATAATTTTGAAACTTACACATCTTATTAATAGGAGTGTGAGTCAAATCATGCTCCACAAATTGGGTCCACTGCATAAGAGCTAATGTCTTCACATTGTCAGGCAAATCTGCATTTGCAGCCATCTTTGTGCTGACAACACGAGCAGAGGGGAGAAGATTTTGCTTGTTTTTAGGCATTCCAATAGAATACATTCGTGGCTCTTGGATTCCTACATCAAAATAAATAAACAAAATTATTACAGATTAAAAATACAAGGGAACATGAAAATGAGAAAGGCAACTAGGAATCAATACCAACCATCACTGTACTGGGGGAAAAGTAATCTTCTATAGCCAGTCAGTGACTGACCCCATGATGGATGAGTAAGGTGATTGCAAGATCCATTTGCTGATCGATATTTGGTTGATCTAGAGCAGGTAAGTGTTGCACTGTGCTGTGCAGCACACTTGTCACCGAGCAACTGCTGTTGTTGTTCTTCACTGGATTCTCCGCTATCACTTAATTTTGGAAGTTTATGCATAGTAAGAAAGCGAGCACATTCATCACTGCTGAAATCATTTCTGAAATAACAAGATATCATTATTATTTTAATATATCTTTTATGAAAAAAGAATATGTGAATAGAACTTCATTGGAATAAATAAATAATAGATAAATGACAACTTACAGGTAACAAACGCTGTGGGAAAGATGCATGGAAGCCTTGAGTGCAATATGAGCATCTCTTCCATGACCAAGAGCTTCATTTGTAGGATAGGAAGCAATCAGTTGGCCATGCATGGGAGTACCCTCACGCACATTCACACCTGAGCTGACAAGATTTTGTTCCATGCGACTCATACGATCCACAGAATCTGTTCCGAATCGAAGGGATGAAGCGATTTTTTCTTCTATATCTCTGAGCTGTACTAGACCAGGCCTTTGCTCAGCTGCATGAGCTCTAGGGGCGTACCATCCTGAAAAAAATACATTTTTTTTAGAAATCACGTACATTTATAATCAAAGGTTCTGCAGAATGAGTTAGTAAAATGTATGTGCTAACACTTACCAACAAAAGACTGCAATGATACTGGTAACCGAAACATGGAAAATGCTTGAACTTCATGAGGAGAGTTTCCAATTTGTGCACCAAATTGCAAAGATGTCCAGAGAATTATCCCGAGGACTGTTGTTGTGATAGCCATTTTTAAACTTCCTGCAACAACATAAACAAATGTACAAATTAAAAAAAATGTTCAAATACAAAAAAAGTAAAACACTGCCTGTTACAAAAAGAAACTATAAGTAAAATAGAAGGGTCAAAATACTACAAAGATTATAGTAAGTGACACTTTTTAAATATTGGAAGTAAGCAAGAACACGCCTGTAGATTTCGAACATTCAAACCGCGCGCCGTCTATAGATAAAGTTCAACGCTCTCTCACACGAGCCGGAGGATTGGCTCGCCGATTTGGGTGGGGGTTTGAATCGAGAGGAAGACCCAACTTGACCCGAGGCGTGACTAATAATTACGTTTACAATGACAGCGATAAAAATACATATTTTTGCATATCTATGGTCATAATTCTTACCAGGTACAACAGGAATAGGTTTCTTCACAATGTCGTTGGCAGTGAGAACTAATTCGGCTTTAGTTTTCGCTTTCATCAAGTCCATTGTTGTAGATTTCAATGAGTCATATACTTTAATACTTTGCTTCAAATTTTGGGCACACTCTTTTTTATCACAGTGAAGGCTCCTTCGGATTTTATTATCCATTAAAGCCATTGTAACTATTATATAAGTTCAGTCTTTCAAACAGGACGAATCAGCGACTTTCAATATCACTCTTAACACTCACAAAAACGAAGTATGTGTTTACACCACATTAAAACTGCAGCAGTGACTAGTAGCAATACGCAACGAACAGCGTTCACATGGAAGAACCCAAACACGATCACTCGGCAAGGGCTACAACACACACGCGGCGTGGGCGTGCCTGGCGAGCGGGGGCGGTTGTTCCAAGGGATGCTGGGGCAGCGGCGGCGGCGTCGAGCTCATTCCACCGGGCGTGCGCGGCGAGGTACTCCCGATCCAGGCGAGCTCCAGCGGGCGTGTGGAGGGGCGCGCCGCCGCCCGCGCGGTATATACGCGAGCGAGAGAGAGCGCCGCGCCGGTGCGCCGAGCACGCGGCCACCACGCGGGCCGGGCGTGATCTTTCGAGGCCGCCGCCGCCGCCGCCGCCGCTCCGCCCGGAGATCCGCGGTGGTGGGCGCGGTTCGCATTTTTCGTGGGCGGGGAACGTCTGCCTCGCTCGAAGGCGTGTGGTTGCGAGCAAACGTGTACTAGCAGATAGGGCCGAAGCCAGGTTTTTATTTTGTTTTGGAGCTCCATTGGCGAGCGATTGTTTTGAACGCCCTTATGTCAAAATGACAGCTTTTGACACGTTGCGCGAAATCTTGTGAACCACGATATATCCACAGTGTTTTTATCTCGATGAGATACGATTGATGTAAATTATCCCTGTTTTTTCGTCCGTCACGTTGGTTTGCGTAGCATTTGGTAATAGAAGGCAACGGTGAGCGGGTCGTGGTGCTTAGCGGCACTGTGTGTTAATTTCGGGAAGGGATCAATCCCTAGCCTGTCGATCAATCGATTGTTTGGAATTGTTTATTTTCGATGTAGAGGACTGATATCTAGAAGGCGAGGTGTTTGTACTTTTGCAAAATTTCATCCTGGGGTGTTTTGTTGTTGAAGTATAAAGAAAGGCAATTTACTTTCGTGGCTTTGATCTTTTGAATATTTGCGGATTATTTATGATCTCCAGGTGTATGCCAACTGCGCAATGCACGCTGTCACGAGCCCACTGCGTGAAGTCCGAAGGTTTATTTCCTTAACATTCTGCACGTCGTCTTACTCGTTCAAACTTTGAACTTCAAAGGCGCTTAATACAATAGCTCTACTGCAGAGATCTGTTACAGATGACTTTTTTTGACGTAGGGAATTCTATACGTAAACTACTAATACCTGAAGGGGGAGGGAATTTCATCGGAAATTACGTACGTACTCTCTTTCTGCTACCGCTGCAAGTGCAAAATGCCTTTTCAAAGAGGTTTTCATGTAAAAAACAAAGAGTAATAAAAATACGAAAAACATTTTATATGATATTAGAGTTTATTACCGTTGTCAAGGATGTGTGTAAAAACACGTATTCTTGTACCGCGGCGTTACACGTGAGAACATTACATTTGCGTAATAGTTACCGAACGCTTACTCGTAATTTCACGTTGCCTTCGGACACATGAGTAATGGAGTTTATTATTAAGTTTTGACATTGATAAACGTCTTCAGCTAGATTCAAAACATAATACGCCTATTGTGTGGCTTTCCGGGACCTTCATCGACAAAATTACATGAGAGCAGAATTTCAGCAAAGTAACAACGGGTTAGAAATTCAGCGGAACCTCTTCCGTTAGTCATTTAAACTATCGTCACACACACACACACACACACACACACACACACACAAGCGCGCTCATTGATATATACATGACACACATACTGACCATAGTCTCATGAACACACACTGTCTGTTCGAGAGACCCAGACGCACACGTCTTCTTTTTACACCCCCACGCGCACGTGTCTGTCGGGGGCGCCGTTTCCGGGAGTGCTTGTAGGGCGCGCGGACACCTGTTGGCCAACGGGAGCGGTTCGCGCTATCGACCGCGCGGAACTCGCGGTAACTTTCCACTGCTCTCCGCTCTGCGCCCCCTCACGGCGTGCAAATCGCTCGCCGGCCCACCCTTCTAGCCCGGGGCGAACACCACAGGTCCAGAATGCGACCCGCGCGCCCGCCCCCGCCCAAAGGCGCTTCCGAAGCGAGCGAGATGCCGAGAGTTCATGATTATGATTTCTCAATTTCCCAATGGGAGGAAGATAATAAGTTAGTTTTTAAACCTTAGGGTCCCGAATTTAATCAATTTGTATTTTCGCGACTTACATTATTTAGCTAGTTTTGAAGACCTCATTGAGGAAATATTTAATGAGTCTCAGGCAATAAATATTTCATTGTGTTTTAAATGTATAAAAAAACACGTGCTGACATTTTTGTAATTAAAATTTAAAACAGGTAGCGAAGAGTTGACGGGACATGTCAAGTTAAAATGTAATTTTTTTTGCTACTACTTATTGTTTTTAAAAAAATACACTTATAACCAACGCTATGAAGCGCTATGGAGCGCATAAAGCTATGCGCAGGCTATGCTTGCATGCCATGCGTGCAAAATTAATTCGGTCGTTAATGGGTTAATATTTTCCTAAAGCATGATTTTTGAATAGGCTATTTCTTTTCCTTTCGAAACTATATTCGGCAAAGCGTTAAAATAATCCCCTGCGCAACTCGACGCAATTGCGACCTTAGCCTATTGTATAACAGATGTCTGGTGCATAATACGTAAGGTGATCTAGTCACGAGGGAGAAAGGCTTGCCATGAGAGACTCAACATGAGCCCCAGGGACGAAGTGTTGCAGGCAATTACGTGATTCATTGTCCCGCGAGTTTCGAATTGCGTTCAACCATTACGGGCAAACTTCGTTCTCTTTACAATCTAAGCTATTGAGTATAAACTTTATTGACTGAAGATGTAAACATTTGATGTTCAACATGAATATAGAAGATTTCTCTACTTTCCGGAGACTTGTGGTTCATAAACAAATACGGGTTAATGAATTGAAATCGATCAAAACTAAGGAAACACTCTTCCTATGGAAGGATTGATAAGAACGTAAACAAAAATATTTGAAGTCAAGCAAGTCAACATTCAAGATATCTTTGGAGATCAGGGTTGTTCAAGCAAGTGTTTGTTTTGGTACTGTCAATTGGTAGCGAGAAAACAATGAGAACTATGTAGAGAGGTATTATAGCTGAATACAGCTAGAATCATTCGACTAAAAGGTACGAAGACTCAAGTTTCGGGCCCCCCACCCCAAATATGTTTGTACAAAAAAAATGTGTGACAGTTTTCTTGCAGAGTATGAATATTTCAACAGGGAGGTATGACTGGATAGCGCTATCAAAATCTCTAACATAAGCTTACGGCTTCAAAACAGCAATTAAGACGAAGTCACAAACATCCTTTTATCGCAGAGACCTGCGCAGCAGAACGCGGAGGAAACTCCGCTGGAAGCAACGGCTCTTGAAAAAACGCAGGTCTCAACGGAGACGGAGAACGCCGCGCCGCGGCCCCCTCCACGCCCAGTGTTCACGTGGGCTCGGTTCTCCAGGAGCGACGCGATTGGCCAGCGCGCGCCTTCAAGGTGTGGGATCAGCCGCTCGCCACGTGCGTTTCACGTGAACGTCACGGCGTGTGCCGCCGACCCAGCCTCGCTTTCACGTTGGCGTTACCCGCGAGTGCCGGTAACAGGTCTGCCCCGGCCCCCTGCCCCCGTCCCGCCCCGCCCCGTCCCATCCCAGGCAGCGGTGGCCGCCGCCGCCGCCAGGTCGTGGGCCGCCGTTGCGATGACCACGCGGAATGACGCTGCGTCGTGATAGGGGCGGTCCGTTGTTTTGACCCAAAGTAAGGGGCTAAACCAAGGGAGAAGAAATGGGAGCGGGTGTGTCCCTTACCTTCCAGTCGGTTTACATTTTAAACGTTGGGTTCTGCTCCAATACCGCATAATTTATTTTGATGTTATAATGCGAAGGTGTCCTTTATTTTTAACGACAATCAAACTTGAAAAATTTATGCAGGTGTGATCAGAAAAAACACAGGTGTTCAGGCAGTTGATACACAGTGACCTCTCATTTCAAACAAAAAAATCCCTTCTCAGGCAATTCATAAACAAAATTAATTTTTTTGTGCATCAGAAATAACTTTTAGCGTTAAATTTGGATTATCCATGAATACTTTTGTATTTCTTTTGAATGAAAAGAAATCGGAACCCAAAATACTGTGTCTAGACCTGGGGCAAGTTGTCTCAACTGTCCCCCTTCTGGTTACCCCTGCACTTTAATATTTGTTCGTTAAACTTGTCGAGAGCCCAGCAATTCGCAAACAAGTTGTTTACTCAACAGGCGGCATTAATAGTTCTAAAAATACATTGATGTAAGGTACTGTGTCTCAATGGTCATTACATAATTTGCGTCAATAAAAAAACTTCCGATTTGAACATTCCGTTCAACTGAGTATGAGTGAATGCGACTAATTATTATAAAGTTCGGAATAAAGAAAAATAGGAGTAATGGAAGATCAGTGTATTATATATATTTCTTAATCAAATAATTATTGGTTAAGTATAATTATTACCCATATATGTGTATATATATATGTATATATATATATATATATATATATCTATACAAAATCAAACAACGCGTATGATGGTACTCGCGAAAAATGCTTTCTTGGCAAAGCCTGGCACCCTGCCGTACTTTTGCTTTTCTGAGTTTTACTCGGACGTGATTTTAGATTGATCATGAGGAAGAGGGAAGGAACGAGACATTGTTATCCATTTATTGAAGTTCGGAAAACTTTTCGCATTTCATCATCGATATCATATAGTACCGGTATATTTTGTCTAAAACATGACACGGCATATAAGGTTTCCACCGCATCTCCTTTCATTGAAATTTGAATTCTTTCTGACATACCGATCCATTCGCTCCCAATTCTGCGACGCCCTAACTAAGAGGTAAATTAACAGAGTTAAAAAAATTAATTCCTTATTCACGGGTCCCAAGAACATCACACTTTGCACCTCGCAACATTTGACGAATTGGACACGGACTTACATGCAAAAGCGGACTACTTGCAGACCTGAAATCATTCATTTAATTTTTGAATATATCTTAATTTGAAGTAGAGAATCTTATCTTCAACTTTTCATCGCGTTCTTACATCGTACGAGATGCTTATCTTACTCCAGTTTGATGATATCATATCGATTTTAAAATCGCATGACTTTGGACTAATCTTATTGTGTTTTCAGCAGTTTAATGCTCATCATTTATTTTAAATAGTTATTGTCTTTCATCTACTATTCGTACACAACTGACGAGGTAGAAAGGACTGTTCTAAAGGAAAGTTCTGTTTCATATTTTTGAAGATGTGTCTTTGAGAACTTTTATCCTGCAAAAAAAACTTTGAAGCTGGACTAGGCTGCTCCTATTAAGCAAGCAAGGTTGAAAACCAAGGAAAACTGCCGATGACCCTCATCATGATAAAGACTGTATTGGCATTGCTATCTACTTTTAGACAGTTACACGTATTTTTAGAATAATGGCAGTTAGAAGTGAAGATACCAAGGTTAAGGTCATTAACAGAGGAATGAGTATCTACCCTCATTGTACAAAGCTGGCTTCCTTGCGGAGGCTCCTATATGTTTCGAGCAAAACATGTCAGGATTAAATTGCGCGTCTTTTGCAAGACGTGTGACTGCCTTTGCGACTTTGCAAGTGAGCTGTAAAACGCTGGACTGAAGTTTATGCATATATGCTCAGGCCGAAGCACTTTTACTGCCGTGTGTTCGTCGACCTTGGGAATCAAACAAATACTACGTCAGTATTTTCAGCGGTGATTCAGGTCTAGTCACCTGGCCACCTAGTGATGTCTTGGTCATTTCCCGGTTTCGCAAAAAGGAAACCATCCTAGCACGTAGGTTTTGTCTTATAACTAACTACTGCCTTTCAGTTCAAACAATGCATCAGTAAACTTTTTTAAATATTCTGGAATGAATTTACTGTATTGGCGTTGCCATTATCTTGCTGAAATGTCACATTCTTGTAAGCATGACGAAAATATATTATTTTGTTATGAGATTTATTATACACAAATTGCGCAATACTCTACTAGAGGGTTATGGTGAATTTTGGTAAAGCTGTGGTATGCCGATAGTTGTGTTCTTTTAAGAAATTATTTTGGGGCACAATGTTCTTTTTCGTAAAATTACGCTCATCCATTGGAACATTAGCGCATCTGTAGAAAAAGGAATTTTACAAACAGCTAATGCATTATTGTTCTTCTCAAATAACGTTGCAATCAAGTAACATTTCAACAACGACGTTCCTGTTCTCTCAAATTTCAATTCAGTCACTGTTTCTACAGAAGTATTGAGTTTCTGAAGCAGTTGCAGAATTTAGCATTTTCGTCGTTATTCTACTGTATGATCGATATTTTAATTTATGACTTTTACCATTGCGAAGAGGTTCAAATTATGTATGCCATAAAAATGTTTCCGTTTGACCTCAGCCATCATATCCCATTCAGAGACAGACTGCTCCTTGAATTCTCTTCGCCTGTGTTCTTACCTAACTGTTTTTCGGAATTTTCGCCGTCGAATTCAGTTCTGCACTATTCTTGTATTTTCATCAGAGAAACCTGTTGGCTCGGAGAAATTTTGTACTCAAAGTTACGATATGATGACAAAGCCAAACTATCTTTTTACCAAATCAATTTCTAACAGATCCGGATTCTAATGAGAAGGTAGGCATATCTCAAACTTTTCTTAAAAAATAAATATATGCCTTAATTTTATAAATAAAAAAATACACAAGACTAAAATACAAATTTCTGATTATCAGGTTGCAGAAGCTTTTTGGGCGCCTTTCGGCTCCTTTCCGAAACGGCCAATTCGAAGGAACGCGGCCTTCCGACCGGCCTCGCGTGAGCCGCGCGCCGCGAGAGAGGAGCGGACTTTGGCGAGTGTGCGTAAGCCTTTCTGTCCTCCCGGTCGCGGAGCCACGGCCGCATCACGTGAACGTCGCATGCCACATGTCTGTAAGGTATTCCCGTGCCCCGACGCAAACGCTCCCGATTCCCGCGAAAGGAAGCGACCCGCGCTCGCTTACTCACATGGCGGTTGCGGCCGCGTTGCACACGATCACGCACTGGTTCCGTGCGCCGAGAATAAGTCCGTCGCGTTCGCGTGAGGAGCCTAAAACTAATGGGGGAAACTGGGCCCCCTTTCCATCGAACGTTTTTACTTATACTATATGGTATATTCTACTACGAAATAAATTAAACGCACTACAATGCGAATGAAATTATGACTTTAATGTTAAAACTGACAAATGCAACTTGCGGTGCCCAGAGAAAACCACGGCCTGGGGCAGTTGATCCATTGAGGCCCCTTATTTCAAACAAAAAGTCCCTCCTCCCACAATTCATAAACCGAATTCATTTCTCCATGCATTAAAAATAACTTATGGCGTTATATTTGGATTAGAAATACATATATTTTTCATTTCTTTTGAATGAAAAAAATCGGAACCCTAATCAGGTGGGGGGCTGGGGCCTGAATGCAACTGATTGTACTTTGAACCATTCACAGGCTTACCGGATGGTTTGGACATCCTCTTCCCTAATGTTAAGTCCCCAAATTGTCAGTTTAAAAAGTTTATCATAATTATGAAAACAAAAACATTTTATTTCGTGTGGCAAAAGAGTTCTTATTGATATTTTCTATAAGGGAAGTTCTTTTAGAAATTCGTATAAGGGAATCTCAGTCTCCGCAGTCGTCATAGCACCAAAGACAGTATTCTCGATATGAATACCCTCGTCCTATTTCTAAATTTCAAGCTAACAATTAAAAACGATTTTTTCAAACATTTTTACGGGATATTGCTTCGCTCCCGAAATTACTTTCTTACGAACTTACCCTCTTTTGTACCCTAGTCGCCTGTTTTTCCTCGTGACGAAATGAATGTTAAGTGTCCTCGACAGACGGCTTATTTGAACCCCAACGTCTCGGACACGAAGGATTCATTTGCAGTCGATCTGTAATGAGGCAGTAACGAGCTAACTTGTAGTAAAAATAATGTAGCAGTACTTGAATCTCAATTTTGCATTATGGTCCAAGAATATTGTTCTACATGAAAGACACGTCAAGTGAGAGAGTACTGTTATGCAAATTGTTTAGACACAATAATATTTAATTATTGTGGGTTAATTTTGCTTCACAGAATTCGTTGCTGAACAATGAAGAGTCAAAAATATCGTGCTCATTTTCTTCGTATTATGTGAGGGGTGAATTGTATTTTTTTTAAATAAAGTAATTTTGCTTGTAGGAATAATGATGTAAATAGGTTCCTCATTCTTTTGTATCTGAAAGTAGCTCATAATTATGTTTACAAAGGCTTTTTGCTTTGGTTTCTAGGTGGAATGATGGTTTTGTAATTCTATTTAACATTCATAAAAGGCTTTGTGGAACATTCTGGGAATTTGAAACAAATGGTTGCAAACATCCTTCACGTGATCTGTACTGGGGCTTTTGTGATAAAAATGTTGACAGTACAAAGAATCGGAATGGTGATGTGACCCTGTATGAGAAGTACGTGATGTCGAGCAGGTATGGGCTCAAACATTTTTATATATGAACTAATATTATGAGCGTACGAATTCAGTGGAAGGCCGATTTAATTCATAGGCTTCTCATGTCTCAATTGATCCCAATTGTCGAGAATAGTTTTTGTTTGTAAAGGAATATTTGTTTTTTACAGCAAAAGCCTGGATGTTCTTGGAAGAAATTTCTTTTATCCATTGTGTGATATTGAGTGTTCTGCTAACTTTACTAATAATATAATATTCTTACGGGAAAACCAATTACTGCCCATGAGCGTTTGGCGACTTCAGAATGAAGAAACCGCCAGTACACTAATGAAATGTTTCAGGGTAAAACATTAATATGAGGCCGGTTACTTTCGTGCTGCAGGAAGTTGGCGTTGGAAAAAACGCTCAGATTGTCCTTTCGCTCATAAAAATGAGACCCTGTACCCCTTCCGGCTTCCGGAAGGAACATGAATGTTGGCAGTGGCCAGAGTTCGTGGCGAGCGTGCATGATGTCGCCTGCAATGGCGTTCCGGGAGGTCACTCATTGGACCTCATGCAAGGTCTCTCCGCGGCAGGGTCGGCTGCCGGTCGTGACCGACATTTGCGGGGATTGACTGTAGGCAAAACACTAGATTTCTATACATTTTTTTCAAATTTCCTACGTGGTAACATTGCATAGAGATAGTTGAGACATTAAAGTAAAATAAAACAATTTTCTTAAAATCAAATTTTACATTTTATATTCTTCTCGAGGTTATATTTTCGGTTTTTTTTATCTCCAGAATATTGAATATTTCATAAGTGTGTAAAGCAAATGACACATTTACGAAACTGAGTGTTGTTAAAAGATAAAATACGTTGAAAAATAGTATGTTTTTTTTAGTAAAAAATTGATATATGTGGAGTACACAAGCCTGTTGGCCCTATAAGACAAATTTTGAAATGTGCAACTTGAAGTGAGCACCAACTAATGTGAACTGTCTTCATTTCTAAAATTTTAAGATTTTTGGTCCTGGTAGGTTCCTTTCGTGTAGTATCTTACGACGAAGAATTAATTTAAACATGCTATTTTATTACTGTGAATTTAAACAGAAAAAGTCAACTTTCTAATGGTATTCATTGGATGAGACATCTCTGATAGGTTGAGACTAAATAGTTCTTAACGTAAAGCTGAGAATATTTAGTCTTAATTAAGATATCTGCCTTTGTTGTTGTTATTGTTTTTCTTGCTTGTTATTCCTTATTACAATTCAAATTGTAATAAAATAAGAGAGATTCAGAGGTTTATTCGCGTAGAATCCACCAATCGTTCATATTATGTAGATTTCTTCTCTTGCAATAATATCGTCCGCGATCCTCTGCAACTGATACCAATAGAAATTAAAGCTTTTCCGCCGTGAGTTGTTTACTCATTAACCAGTGAGGGATCAAGGCGGCCCTGACTCCGACATGACAAACACCTTTGTTGACGTCGCAAAGCAGTGGTTGGCGATGTTCGCGGGGCATGGCGGCGCCTGGGAGGCGGCGGCGGCGGAGGCGGTGGCGGCGATGGCGCAGCATCGGCCTCAGCGAGCCTCAGCCACCGCCCACTGCGATCGCGGCCATCAGCCAATCACGGACGAGTGTTTGGAGGCAGAGCTCCTTCTCTGGCCCTCTCTTATTTATGAGATGTTTGCATAACACGTGGGAAGTGGTTCTGGTTTTGCAGGGAAGCGCGCGAGAAATGTTGAATTGTATTACGTCGTCTTCAGAAATTTGGTGAAGTTCGGTACACAAGAAAGTAGATGTACCGAGCTCGTATTATTAAACGCCTATTTTTTAAGAGTTAATTTACAGTTTAACAAAGATAGTTAATGATTTTAATAATTATCTGTTAAAGCTACTTAATAACATCATTTCAGTTTTTTCATATCACTCGCTTTGAGAAATAATAATTTCTGGAAAATCTATTGATTCATTTTAGAAGTAATCCTCGCAAACTCATTTAAATTTGTATTTTTTCAACTTTTATGTAGAAACTTGTAAATTTTGTGACAACAAAAGATTGACACTTACATCTTTCTTCTCTTAATAGAAATAAGAAACTGGCGAATATAATGTTAAAGCCAATGATTCATTTGTTCAGGAGTGTGATGGTGAATGTAACTGAGCCCGCGTTGTTTTTTTTCTTTTCTAAGAAAAATGAAATAAATATTAATTACTAGTACGCAATTACGAGATTACGCTTTACATTATCTTCAGAGCTTATTCTCGCTTTGGAACTAATTCGTGAAATTTGAAATAAAACACTTGTAAGGCACAAAGACATTTTTCTAAAGATAAAATCTTCCTGATTAACATATAGGACAATAAGTGTCGAAACGGAGGAAAATAAAGTTGACCTAACAAATTCGAAGATCGTTTTGATTATTGGTGTGTAATTGCGACACTTCGAACCACTTCAGGCATTGGCCTTATCAATATACAGAAGTTCGCAAAGTGAAGAATGTCACCGGCAGATGGCACCAGTTTCCTAGTCATGCCTTCAAGAGACTATCGCATTGCGAGCTAGGAATGACTCATAGATTGCGTGTGAAGCTGATTCAGAGCGCGAGTTTTGAATTTAAAGATAGCGAAACTGTTTCTTGATATGAAGAGATTCGGATAATTTTTCTTCATATTATCTATCATCTGAAATTTTAGAAGACTTAGAAAAGAAAATCGAAATACCTACTCATTAAAAATGCTTGTCTGTTATTGTGGAAGAATTTTACAATTACATATTATTTATAGTTAATTGCGCCTACGAGTACATTGGACAAGTGCTGTGTAAATTACTATACTATATCCGTCATTTAATGAATCCTTACGACCTGATCTTCAGACGATAATTATAACTAATTTCATAATGAAACAAACATTTAAATTAGTATTTTAATAGATTTGTTAAAATGTAACTTTCTAGGCTCAAAAATGGACTGGTCGGGCAACTGTAATGTTTAAAATTTATTTTTATAATGAACTTGAAATGTACAAATAAAACATTTTTACATTAAAATACCTCCGGGAGGCACTCTAGGATACTGCTGTACTTGGATTATACATTAGTGTTTGTTAAATTTCAATTAATAATTTTAGTTAATAACAATTTTAGTTTGGCATCTCTAATGAAAACTACAATTATAGCTCATTAAAAACTAATAGTGAAAACGTAACTACAATTATTGTACATAATTGTATATGTATTGTATAAATATTATCATCAGTAGTTACACGAGCATATCTTGGATATTGTATCCAATAAAATTCCTCGTTGCCATTTCGAAATATAAAAATATTCGTAATACGTCCAATCTATCACGTTAATATGTACAATGCTCATAAACAATGATTAGTAGCAATACTCTACATATCGAATGCACGATTATATGACATCTCAGAATCACACTAAAGAGAGTATTAGCAAACGTGGGAATATAAAATCCTCTTTTGCATTACGTGACGATAAATATCCACAATTTATTATCAAGAGTACGATCACTCATACCAATTACTTTGTAATAACGTTGAACTGATAAAAATGCTAGAAATGCGCCAGATTGTATTCACATCGCTATTACAAGTAAATAAAAAATGAGATCGAAAGAGAAAAGAAATCTCTAGTATATGAACTGCGAAAATACTCAAAGATAGTAGCAACAATAAATTTATAACGCTTTAGAGCCACCTTACACATTAGTCATTATTAATTTGTATGTGTCCTGGGAGATAAAGAATGGTTATTCCGCTAATAAAATGTAATTGTTTCCGATAAGATTAATTCTTGAGATTTTACTCTAGCATTTCTGTATTACTCTACCGGTATATTGTTGAGACAGTCTGCAGCCAAATAAGGTGAAATATTTCGGTTAAATTTCGGAATAACGTCGGTGATATATTTTGTTCTACTACATTTTACAGAAATAAATATAATGTGCAGTAATTCTATAAATAAACGCTGAGATATTACCCTTACATTGATTGTTGTTTTGTAATTTGGGCTAAAATGGGTGACACTATTTCATTTTCTAATATCGAAGCATAAGATATTTTGTTGCCATACTGAAAATTTCTTCGAGCGGAAGTGTTCCGCAGCGAAAGGCAACGATACGGAATGTTGACAGTACATAAGCAGATGCGAGCAGAGATTCGGGGGTGTTTGGTCGAGATTATTCGTAGAGGATGAGTACTGTTGAAAGCTCGATTACGGAAACGGGGCTATGCATGTAGAGCTGCAGGATTAACGAACGAGGGCGTGAGTGCACGCGCAGATATGCATGTGATGCGAGTTCCATGCGTCTGGAGAGCCGGCGGCTAAATAAAGCCGGCTGGCGTGGGTGCGCGCGAAATGGAACGCGAGAACTAAGGTGCAAGAGTGCGTGTTCCGCTCTAAACAAAAAGCGAGTAATGGCAGAACAGCTAAATGAAACACAATGCCAACTAGTCGCCCACTCTTTTCTAGAAATACAACAGAAGTCACCTTCAATTTTGAGTGACCAAATAAACAACTCGACTTCTCGAGAAGTGTAAGTTCTAATTCTTCTTGTATCGCTTCGTTCAATTTTTAATATGTTATCGGTTTTTTATTAATTCTTGATTTAACTAAAAATTTAGCAACTTTTTTTACAAATGACATTTTTTACAACTTATCAAAATTTTGTAAATGAGTATTGGCAAGTATTCAATACTTCCTATCCTCCAGTAAATCGAAGCATTTGATAACCTATTTTGTCGTTTTATGGTGTACTCTTTAAGTTTTCCAAATCTTTATAACTACTTTTATTTGAGAGGAAATGGCCTTTTACTGAATTCAATTTCCCGCGAATAAGGCGGTGCTGTGAACGTAAACAGCGAGCAAAATGAAGTGATGAATATCGGTGAACGAATACGAGACAAAATGAGAGTACGAGACAAAATGACAATACGAGAAAAACATTTTCAGCAAGACAATAAAAAAAGTTAAAAGGAAAGGCGAAAGTAAAGTGAGGGAATATGAAATGATAATATTGTTGAATTAGAATAAGACAAATTACCATTTAAAAATAAAATATAAAATAAGAAAACGGCATAGTTAAGTGGAGGAACATGAAGTGGCGAATATTGGTGAATATTGTGAAAAAAGATATTTCACAAATACAATTTTTAAAAAGTTAAAAAGAAAAGGGAAGGAAGATGGAATATTAATGAATGGGAGAATAAGACAAAATGGCCATTCAAGAATATAATTAAAAAAGAAAGAGAAAAGGGGAAAGTTCAGTGGAGGAATATGAAGTGATTGTTGAATGAATGAAAAAGATATTGTTGAAGAAATATGAGGCAAAATGAACATTCAAAAATTAAAAACCAAAGGAAACAGGCAAAGTAAAGTGGAGAAATATAAACTGATAGTATTGATGAATGAGAATAAGACAAAATGACCATTCGAAATAAAATTAAAAAATAAAGAGGCGAAATTAAGTTGCGAGATACGGAGTAACGGGTATTGTTGAGGGAATACGAGGCAAAATAAACAAATTCGAAAACAAATAAAACTACAAAAGAAAAGAGCAAAGTGTAAAGAGCTGAGGCGCGTGCGAGTGCCGATACTCACAGTGCACCGTGCGGCGCGAGGCGGTCGCTGGCGCGAAGGGGTGCGCGCGGGGCGGGCAGGCGAGAGACGCGCGGGTCGAGACGCTCCGGGCGGAGAGCGGGCGACGAGTGTGTGAGCGGCGCGCGCTGCCTGAGCAGGGAGGGCTGCGCTGCGCTCGCGGCGCGGCGGCGGCGGCGGCGGCGGCACACCTCCAGCGGACCGCCTGCCGCTGACGGCCCCGCCCCCTTCCCATTGGCGCGCGCGCGGTCGCCGCCTACGCCGACACCCCCGCCTCACGCACGCACGCACGCACGCACGCACCCGCGCCACCCGCCGCCGTTTTTAACAAGTGGTTGTATTGTTACGCGAGCTCTGCGGTGACGCGACAATGGGGAGGTGCTAGAACCTCGATATAACGAAGTATTGGATAACTTTTTCTATTCCAGTATCAGATTCGATATATAAGAATTTACGCCGTAATTTCTTTTTTTTCCTTCAATCTCCCCATTGTTCCAATCGGTCGTGCGTTGCTATCTGCGACGGAAGTCATATCATCATGCTTTTTCAATTTACATGATTACAATTTATGTTATTTATTTTTTGGTTGAATGAAAATTCATTATAATAATTCTGCCCTGCTCAAACTTCGATGGTCTCTATTTTTTAAAATAGTGAAAAGCAGACTTTAAAGTAAGAAATTATCGCTTCTTGAATGGACGCGTTGGTGGAATTCGTGGGAGATGACAATAATTGTGAGTCATGAACAGAAATCTTGGGCGGCGTTAATTTTATTACGAGATGAATTGGTGGGATGGCAGCCGGTTAGTCACAGACATAGAAGAAATTTTACCGAACCCACGCTTGCTTAAGCTTCTTGAATCATTCAGCGTTCTAAATGTTGCGTTCGTAAATAAAGAAATTTTGGAACCCTGTGATATTTTTCATTGTAGTTTTTGTTTTAAGCTGGAATCAAAAGACGAATCATTGACAAGACTTCTGGCTCTGTTGATTGAAGTGTGTGTGACTATTGAGCCAAAGTTTTTAAAATAGTAAGTTCAAGTTGTAAATTATCCACATCATGAAAATTACATCACAAATTTTTAATATTTAATAAATACGAAGATTAATCTTAGGGTGATTACAAGTTTTCATACTTATTCCAAATGATATGATAGAAATAATCATTACGTATTGTTCTACTTGTACTTCCTCAGTCTCTAAAAACATTATTCAAGAAGTTTTGTAAGGTGATACTGGATCCATTGTAATATAAACGGAGGTGCCGAGAGGGACTAAATTTAAACATGCCATTCTTCTCTTTTTCCATTGAATCATATCCGAGAACCAGACGGAAATTTTCCGCGTAGACTGGAAATACCGGGAGGTAATTTGAGAAGCGTACCGTTGTATTCCGCAGTGCTCGTTGAAGTGTTCTCGTGTTACGGAAAGATAGTTGGCAGCGTTCGGACGGTTCGTTCGTGGGAGATGTACGTTCATCGACCCTTGCAGATGACACCGCGATATAAGTGACGTCATCCTGTTGGGCCCTGCTGGTCGCGGGAGGCGCGGCTCACCACGTGACCTCTGAGAAGAGGGCGGAAATTCGTCGTTACGCATTCTATGACTGTTCCATCGGGCTCTACGTCACACCCTACGCAGCTTCCTTGGCAGAAAAGTAACACCACAAGTGGACAGACAAAACGATTTACATTTTTACACACATTGTATCAACGATGCGAATGAATAAGAATTTGGCAGCATGTTTTGGAAAACCAAACATGCAAAATTGAAAATGGGTTACGAAAATTATATTTTGTATTTTGCTTCTGTTTGAATTATTTTCGAACAAACATTTCACATATTAATTATTAATTAAAAGTTCCAAGACAATTTATATTCTACGAACTCAAATTATTTTAAAACAATTTCATCCATAAGAAGTTGATTAAGCTGACGTCAAGGTTTAAATAGATGTATGACTACCGCAGCGCAAATTCATGTATACGAATTTTTATAGAAGTACTATAAAATTTACAATTGA